CCAGGCAGTTTCTCACAGGGAGACAATCTGTCGCCAGTGCGCTCAGCCCAGCCCCTCTGTACGTGCAGGCGAGGGAGGCAGTGAGTCCTCCTCGGCTAGGGCCTCCCAGCAGGGACTTGGACATGACTTTGCCACTCCCAGGACTCCGACTCTTCATAACGATATCTAATTCAGAGAGCACCAGTGTCAGTTTCATCAGGTAAGTCTTATCCCACTTTTGTGGATGAGAAAACAGGCCAGTGAGACAAAGTACTGCAGGCTGCCCCTCACAGACACAGGATTCCGCCAGGCACGTATATTCACTCCAGATAACTCAGGACGCAGCGTGTGTATCAGCCCAGGAGACCTCATGTTTACCCAGAGACAAAATCGCAAATACCCCCCAGCTAAGCCGTTCCTGGTCGTCACTGGAGCAGCTGGCCGACCAGAGAGAAGTCACCGCAGCTTCCTCCCCTGGTTCCAGACTCCTAGGCTGTGTCCTTCGTTCTGCTCCCTAACCCTCTCTGTCCCTCTCTCACTTTCCCTGGCATCAACCCCATACCACACTTGTTCGCACCCTTGCATACAGGCAAACAGATAAAATGCTAGGACTGTGGCAGTGCCTGAGGCCGAGGTATCCTCATGCATGTCCACTGATCCCTGAAATAAGTGGGAAGCACACACGGGGCGTCAAGAGGGCACTTACCGGGGACTTGGGCATGCCGAGATCTGCCTCTGATGTTTTCTATTTGAGCACATATTATCTGTCTGTATTACAGGACCAAGGAATGGGCAGGAAGCCCAGGAGGGTGGGGAGGAATGGCTGGGAAAAGCCAGCCTGGGGACAGTGGCATATTAGCAGACGAAGTCTGTTTGAGCTTATAGATAAGGAGTGCGTTGAGGGCTTGTGGCCGACTTGCGGCGTAACCTGGATGCTTGCACAGTAAATCTGTGCCAGGGCTGGCTGTGGGTCAGCAGGCTGTTCAAGGCCCAGAGCCACCAACTGGCATGGCCACCAGCCTGGCTTCTGAGAACAGAGGCCATGGGGAGGAAGATATGGCCCCAGAGCTTTCCACCCCAAACCTCCCTTACAGCGCCCTCTGCTGGTGCAGCGGTTCTCAGCTCTGGCTGCACGCTACAATCACCTGGGGGCTCTCAAACATCCGTCCCTCAAGTCCACCCAGACCACTTCCGATCTCTGCAGGTGGGGACCTGTGACATGTTGTTTTGTTTGTTTTCTTTTTGAGACAGAGTTTTGCTCTTGTCTCCCAGGCTGGAGTACAATGGCACAATCTTGGCTCATTGTAACCTCTGCCTCCTGGGTTCAAGCGATTCTCCTGCCTCAGCCTCCCAGGTAGCTGGGGTTACAGGTGCCCACCACCATGCCCAGCTAATTTTTGTATTTTTAATAGAGGTGGTGTTTCACTATGTTGGCCAGGCATGTCTCGAACTCCTGACCTCAGGTGATACACCCACCTCGGCCTTCCAAAGTGCTGGAGTTAAACTTTGGTGACTGGGTGACCACCGTGCCTAGCCCTGTGTCATGTATTTAAGTGCCAAGATGACTGGAAAGACAGCCAGGGCTGAGACCCCTTGCTCTGACTGGCTACAGAGGAAAGGCAAGTCCTCCAAAACTATTCCAGACCTGATACCCAGGTGTGGCAAGGGTCCTGTGGCCAGAACTTTGGGGAAAATGACGTGTTGCTCTACCTAAAAGATCAGCCATATACATGTTCACTGCTAAAAACTTGGAAAATCCAGAAAAGTACAGAGAAAAGCCCACCTGGGCACTGGGAGCCTTTCCTGAGGCAGGAGTGAGGAAGGAGGCCTGATAAGAACCCCACCTGGCTGGCAGCACCTGCTTTCACACAGGTGGGGAGCAGAGTGGAGCCCCCCCACTGTCCACTAGGCATGAACCCCAGCCTTGCACCACCAACCCTCCAACAAGCCAGGGGCTTTCCTGACCCAAGCTGGGTCCTAATGGGTGGGGGTGCTGCTGGGCAGGCCCACAGCAGGCAAGGCAGTGACCTCTTTGCAGGGGCCCAGGGTTGGCGTTTGGTCTGTCCTTTCACCCTGCGGTTCCCATGGTGTCCTTGGAGGAGTCACTCCCAGGCTATGCAAGCCCCGTGACCATTATCATGGCTCCTTCCACATCCTGCGGCCCAGGGCGGGACCACCAGATGTGGGGACATATGCAGGCCCATGGCTGTTCCCCTCAAGCACAGGAGCCAGGGCGTCTGCAGGCAGTGGGCTCTAGGACCTGAGTCAGCTGTTCTCCCTCCCCATCCCTGTCTGCCTTCGTGGAGGGACCTCCTCCCAGAGCCCGGACTCCCAGAGAGATCAGGAGAGACTGGATGAGGCCTGGGATAGGACCTGAGCCCAGAGAAACTGGGGCGGAGCCTGGACTTATCTTGGGGCCACTCCTTCACCTGAGTCAATATTGACATGGAGCAGGCTGGGCCTCAGAGATAAGCCAGGTGGGAACAAAGTAGGCCCCAAGCCCTGGAAACTTGCTGGGTGTGGGGGTGGTAGATTGCGGGGGCTGGGGCAGGAAGTGGGTGGGGACTTGCTAGCAAGGCAAACTCTGCTCAGGGCCCTTCTGATTCCTGGCAGGCCCCCTTGAAGGGTGGAGGTGGGGATTAGGTGGGGTGGTGGGGCCCCCTTCCTGCTAGGAGGAGGAGGGAGGGAAAGGCTGGGCATCCCACCCTTCCGTTCTTGTAACATCCGGCTGCCTGTGAGCCTGCCTGGGCCTCAGTTTCCCCTCTGTGTTTGGAGTGTGACAGCTGTGAGCTGGAGGCTGCCCAGGCCAGACTCAAGGCAGTGCTGCTCGTCTTGGCCCCAGGCCAGGCTCTAAGGCCAACCTGCTGTCTCTTCTGGGCCCGGGGTCACAGTTACAGAGTAGGGTGGTTCTGGACAGGACAGCTCGGTCCAGGCGACATCTGGTTTACAGAGACCCAGACAGTTCTGAGGGGCTGGGCCTTGGAGAAGTTCTCTTGCCCCCCACTAAGCTGCTGACACAGGATTGTGCCAGCTGGGGTATCTGGCCTACAGCCAAAGTAGAGGGTCACCCCTCAGCTTCTCAGAGGACTCAGCCCAGTGAGGTCCAGACAGAAAGAAACACACACCGTCAGGCGCAGGCCACAGAAACATGTCAGCAAAACACCCCCTCAGCTTCTCAGAGAAGGAGGACTCAGCCCAGTAAAGGATCCAGACACACACACACACACACAAACACAGGTGCAGGCCACAGAAACGTGTCAGCAAACATTTTATTAAGAACTGCAGTGTGCCAGGCACCATTCTAGACACAGGTGGACATGAGCAAGGCCCTGCCCGCAGGGACTCACAGACATTAACCAAAGACAGCACTTAGCAAGGAGCCCAGGTTCTTGGAGCACCATGATTGAGGAAAGTGGTGAGGCCTGAGGAGCAGGGCAGCTGTGGCTAAGGAGGGCGGGAAGGGCCCTCCACGGGGCTACAATTTTGGCTGGGGCCTAAATGCAGTAGAGGAGCAGCAGCTGCGGGAAGACACAGCGCGGGGCCTGCAGGCGGGGAAGCCGAGATGCGCAGCTCTGCAGGCAACAACTTGGGCGTCTTCAAGGGACACAAAGAAAATCATGTTGCCAGAATGCATGAGCCATGGGGAGAGTGACGGGAGAGGCAGCCAGCAGCGACCATTGGGAGTTGCCTCCGTTTTAGCGAAGCCACGGGAAGGTTTGGAGAGGGGGTGGTGTGAGCGGGTTTGTGGTTAAATTCTGAGGTGAGGGGCCTCGTTCTAGTTAAAATCACAGAAACTAGAATGGCGGTTACGAGGGGCTGGGGGCCGGGAGTCCGTGTTTAATGGATACAGAGTTTCAGTTTTGTAAGATGGAAAAGTTCTGGAAATGGTGGCAGTGGTGACACAATATGAGTGTCCTTAATGCCACAGAACCGTATACTTAAAAGCAGATATAGGCTGGGCACAGTGGCTCTCACCTGGAATCCCAGCACGTTGGGAGGCCGAGGCAGGTGGATTTCTGGAGGTCAGGAGTTTGCAACCCGTCTGGCCAACATAGTGAAACCCTGTCTCTACTAAAAATACAGAATTAGCTGGGCGCGATGGCACACGCCTGTAATTCCAGGTACTTGGGAGACTGAGGCAGGAGAATTGCTTGAACCTGGGAGGCGGAGGTTGCAGTGGGCCAAGATCAAGCCACTGCACTTGAGCCTGAGCAACAAGGGTGAAATTTCATCCCAAAAATAAATTTTAAAAAGGGGGCACGATGGTAAATTTTAAAGTATATTTTACCACAATTTTTTAAATCTTGGAAAAGATCCCTCTGGCTACTGTGGGAGGATGGCCATAGCGGCCAGGAAGGCCAGAGACTCAGAGGGAAGCTGGCTCCCGAGCAGGCAGGACGTGCAGGAGGGAAGGCCAGGCCCGGGACCGGCCATGAACCAGCCGCCGACTGGCCACTGGCTCGGGGCAGTGGGTGGAGGAGACAGAAACCCGGGCAACTCCAGGTTTGAGGCCTGAGCAGCCACTGGCTGTCCACACTGAACGTGTTCCTGGGGCTCACAGAGGGTCGAGCTGGGGGCGGGGGCTGAGGCCAGGTTAAGTGTGAGGTCAGACATGCCACGTGAGCAGATGGAAGATGGAGAGTGAGGCTGGGGCAGGGCTGCGGGGAGCCGGGTCAGGGAGACGCTGGCGTTTCCAGTATTTGCAGCCTTTAGGCTGGAACTGGGAAGTAAACTAGAAAACCAGAGCGCAGGCCCGAGCTGTGCACCTGCCACCATTCAGAGGAGTGAGAGGAGGGACGATGGTGACTGAACGGGCTGCTGCCTGCATGAGAGCGGGCACTGGTGACCGGAAAGAGCCACTTTCAGGGAATTCAGGAACCAAGCCCAACAGAGGGGGTTGCTGAGGGGAGATGGGGGAAGGGTTGGGGGGTAGAATGGGGACACAGTCTTCCTGGGCACAGGGACAGAAGGGGACAGGGAAATGGGTATATGCAGGTGCGGCGTACACACTGTCACAGACAGGGACCCTGTCCCAAGTGGGGATTAGACACACGTGAGGTTGGACAGGCAATGGCACACAGGGAGACGAACCAGGTGCCCAAGACACAGGCATCCCTTCACACACAGGGACCCTGCATTGTGTCTGGTAAACACACCCCACCTTTGTGGGGTGAAGACTGAGCACAGGGAGAGGGCCGTGGGCGGTGGGCAGGCTTCAGCAGCGTGGCTTTGATGGGACGGCCCACGCTGGCTGGGACTGAGGCCTGTGCCCTAAACCAAAAGGAGGCTGTGCCCCTGGAGTTTCTGGAAGGCTCTATTTGCAGCCCCTCTACCCCACAGTGAGAGAGAGAGAGTGGCAGTGGGGTTGGGGAGAGGTGTCAGGGCTCCCTGGGGAGAACTGCCAGGCAGTGAGCCCACACGTGGGCAGGGACAGCGGGAATATCTAGAGGGAGCTCTGGCCACCTTCCCCCACCTCCTGAAGTGAGCTGAGTCTCTCAGAGCCTGACCCCACAGCCTGCAGCCTCAGTCCTACTTCCTCCTAGTTGGCTGGAGGTCCCCTCTGGGACCAGGGGGAGCCCAACACCCCAGGGTGAGGGCTCAGGGGCTCATCTAGTACCCCAGAGGAGGAAATCCCAGTATGTTCCACGCCTCACCCCTTAGCCCAGTCCAGGCTTCCATCCCCTGCTCTCTGTGGCCACAAGTACCCAGGCAGTGAGGCCTGGGAGACTTAGCCATAGCTCTGGGGACGGCACTGCCCCCAGACAGCTTGGCCGGTATTTGCTGACTGACTAAGTGAATGCCCAGCTGGCTGAGCACTCCTGGTGGGGTGTGTCCTGCCAGGCAGGAGCTGGGATTGAGTTACAGTGGCTGGGGCCAGTAGTGGGGAGCCAGAGACCGGCACCGTGCCAGGCCCAGCACTGCCCACAAGCAGGGTGAAGGTGCGGAAGCAGTTTCCAGCAGGTAGGCCTGGGCAGGGAGCGGAGGTCCCAGGGAGCAGAGGGGCAGAGAGCGGGCTGCTGGAGTCAAGGGGGTGGACCACAGGGTCCCAGGGCTGAGGGCCACAGAGCCTCCTTGGGGAAGGCAGCAGCCCAGCTAGTGAAAACGCTGATGGGGCAGGGTAACTGTGGCTGGCAGCCCCGGGGGAAGAAAGAGGCGCTTGTAGGTGGGTAGGGAAGTCCATGGCCCACAGACACAGGGTGCCCGCCCCCAGCCCTGCCACTTCCTCCTTTCCCCTCACTCCAGAGGGCAGAAGTTGGGCTAGGTAATCTCAGGCTCCCTTCACAGGTACCCACAGAGGGAGGAAGGGCAGGAAGGAAGCCTGTGGGGAGAGAAAGGTGCTGGAAGAGGGAGGGGGCCAGGAGAGAGGAGGCACCTAGGGACTTGAGGGGCCTGGGAAAGAGAGGGGAGCCCAGGGAAGAGAAGGGAAGACGAGGAGAGTGAGGGAAGACGAGGAACCCCGGAAAGGAGGAGGTGCCTGGGAAGGGAAAGTGGGAAAAAGGTAAGGATCCCAGGGGAGAAGGGAAATGGGGGGACGGGGAGGGACAACCAGGAGGAGGCAGGGCACCCAGTGATGACAGAGGGAAACCCTGGAAAAGGGGAGGTGTGGGGCTTGGCTGGAGAAAGGGAAGCCAGGGAAAGAACTGGGCATCCAGAAGAGAAAGGGACCCTGAGTGGAGGAAGTGGGCCCCAGGAGGAGGAGGAGGGAGAGGACAAGGGGTAGGAGGGTTCCCACTTGGGAAGGCGGTGAAAGGGAGTTCCCCAGAGGAAGGAGGGCAGGAGGGCTTGGGAGCCTGGAGAGGGCACTGTGGGGAGGGAGGAGTCCCCCACTCTAAGCACTGGTTCCTCCTCCCCGGAGCCCAGGTGGAAGACAGTGAGTGGGATCCCAGCCCTGGCGGCTGAGGGTTTGGCTCCACAGGCTGGGGCTGGATATCAGACAGGCTCCTGGTGCCCCAGGGGCGATGCCCTCCCCGCCCCCCACCCCAACTTTCTGGCAGCCAGTTTGACTTTCCTGTCCCCCTGGGCCCTGGCTGCCACTGTTCCGAGGCCAATCAGTAGTCTTTCTGGCACTCTGTCACCGTGTTGCACTCTTCCATGAGCTACAGCTCACAGGTCCTGTCTGCACCTCTGGTCACTGCCTGCCTGGGTCCCTGGTCCCATCACTGGTCACCATTTCTGCCTGTTACTCAGTGTCCTTCTACAGGGCCACTGTTGCCTGTCACTCTGCTTGCCACTCAGTGTCCTCACGTTTTCTGTTGCTTGAGGTCACCTTTTCATGGCCACTATGTCTGCCTGTCACTCATGTCACTGTCACACCAACAGGCCAGCAACTGTGGCAACAGTTCTTGGGGCAGTTAGGGTGCACGGACGACTCCCTACTCCATTCATTTTCACTCAGTGCAGTCACGGGCAGCACACGACACATTCCACAACTTGCTGAGTACCTGCTGGGGGCCAGGCAGCTGGGATCCCACGGTAAAGAAGAGGACAAACCCCTGCCTTCAGGAACCTTCTGCTCTGGTGAGGGAGGCCGCAGCCAGCAACCATCCTACGGTTCCATAGGGTGTCAGGAGGGGCCATGAGCTGTGATGGTCCCAGCTCTAACCCCTAGAAGGACCGCCCACCCTGCCCACAGCCGCCTCGCTCCCACCACATTTCCATGGCTGTCTGCTGGGTGTTGCCACAGTGTCCTGTGAGCTTACCACGGCCAAGCCAGGGGCTCTGACGAAGGTGCAAGGAATGCGAGCCACTCTGCCAACTGTCGTGCTGCGCCTGATTCTGTAACACTCTCCTCACCTTGTTCTGCATTCTGCTGTTGATAAGACACCGTGGGAGTGGAGGGGAAGGGGGAAGGACGAACACACCAGGGTCACCCTGAGTGAGAGGCTGAGAAAGAAGTGACTTTTGGACCAAACCTCTCACACAGGTTTCTGAAGGAGTGGTGCAGGGAAGCCTCGGGCACTTGAGTGTGAAGTGCCAAGACGTCGACAGAAGTGAGGGTCCCTTCCTTCCTCAGGTACTTCTCATTCCATGTCACTGTCACTCACTGCCCTCTCATTCTCTCCCTCCTCTGCATACGCAGAATCACAGAGCACAGACTCAAGCCAGCTCAATCACTGTTTGCAGAGCCTGTTTATACAGAGTTCAGCTCTGTTTCAAGAGGACGAAACCCTTGCCTTCAGGAACCTTCTGCTCTGGTGAGGGAAGCCGCAGCCAGCAACCATCCTATGGTTCCATAGGGTGTTCACTTGAGCTCAGAAGGTGGAGCTTGCAGGGAACTGTTGGAACCACTGCACTGCAGGTTAGGTGATAGAGCAAGACCCCGTCTCAAAAAAACTGAAAAAAGAATTTGTCAAGAGTGTTTATGCCTGATTTGCCCAACCCACTCATCTTAGCTGAGCCTGTCACTTGCTGCAGAGTCTGTCAGTCTTCAGAGACAGTCTATGTGTTTGCAGAGTCCTCCTAACAAAGTCGTGTTCTGTGATAAACTACAGGTGGCCAGGCGCAGGTCTCCAGCCTGGGAACTCGGCTCTTGTCCCTCCTGCTTCTTCCTGCCTGGCCTAGGATGGACATCAGCAAGGGCCTTCCAGCCATCCAGAGCCACAGGGACCTCCACATATGGATCACTGAGGTGAGAGGCATGACCAGATAGAGGTGGTGACACGGAAGAGTGTGGGGTCTCCCACACCAGGTTCTCCTGCCCCCAACTCAAAGCGTCCTCCTCCACCGGACCCCAGAGGGGGGTCTCCTGAGTGGCTGCAGCACACTCTCCTCTCCCAGAACCAGAAGATGGTTCCGGTACCCGAGGGGGCTTACGGGAACTTTTTTGAGGAGCACTGCTATGTCGTCCTCCACGTGAGTTGCTTGGGGAAGTCGGCCTGAGAGGGGTGACACGGCTCAGCACTGCGGAAAGTGGGGCACAGACATACCTCTGCCCTGGGGAGCAAGCTGGGAGCCCGAGAATCACAATCCACAAGGGGGCCGCTGCCATAGAGGTTCCTCAGCCCTTCCCTCCTGCTTCGGAAGCCCCTGCCCCCCGCCTCCCTCCCCGTGGCCCTTGGTACATCCTCCCCTTCTCCGCCCGCACCTTCGCCTTCCCTGCAACACATACACGCAAACACCCGGACCCTAGGTCCCCCAGAGCCCGACGGCCACACAGGGGGCGTCCAGCGACCTGCACTACTGGGTCGGGAAGGAGGCGGGTGCGGAGGCGCAGGGCGCCGCGGCCACCTTCGTGCAGCGCCTGCAGGAGGAGCGGGGGGCCCTGACCGTGCTGCACCGGGAGGCGCAGGCCCACGAGTCCGACTGCTTCCGCAGCTACTTCCGCCCGGGAATCATGTGAGTGCGGGACGGAGCCGTGGAGTCGGTGCCCAGGCTGGGGCAGTCTCGGGAGGCCCGACGGAACGCCGGGAGGGGACACTTTTATTGAGATGCAACTCATAGGCCACACCATTCACCCATTTGAAGTCCACACACCTGTCAGCGGTTTGCAGATGTGTGCAACCATCACCGCCGTCCACTTTAGAACGTGTACGCCATCCTAGAAAGAAGCCCCACACCCCTTTGCAGCCACTCCTCATTTCCCTCCAGCACCCCCATCCCCTGCCCTCCGCAACCACTCATCTACTTCCTGTTTATCCATTTGCCTCTTCTGGGCGTGTCCTAGACATGGAATCATTCAACACGTGCTCTTCCCTGACGGGCCCTTTTGGCTCAGCGCACCGTCTTTGGGTTTATCCATGTTGTGGCGTGTGTTATTCTTTGTATTGCCAAGTAATATTGCATGTTATTAACACACCACATTTTATTTATCCATTCATCACTGAATGGACATTTGGGTTGTTACCACTTTTGACCTGTTATGAATCTGTTTCTATGAACATTTGTATGCAAGCTTATGTTTTCATTTCCCTTGGTGTATACCTTGGAGCAGACACCAGCGTTGTTTTGAGTTTGCTTTTATGTTACAGTGCTGGTAGGAATATATGTTTCGCTGTAAATTGCTTCACAGGTTTTTTAAATTAACACATGCAGTACATTTGGACATATAGGAAATTGCTGTTAATTGATCATTTCCATTCCATACACTTGAACCTAATCCATGCATATAGTATATACATGAACACATGCACACAGGCATATGTGCAGATGCAGAAACACATACCACCCCCATGTATGTCCACTGACATACATGGACATGTGTGAATATCTATGGTCACCGACACACACATATGCTGTTGCCCACTTTTTTTTCTTTTTCTTTTTTTTTAATTTGAGATGGAGTTTCACTCGTTACCCAGGCTGGAGTGCAATGGCGCGATCTCGGCTCACCGCGATCTCGGCTCACCGCAACCTCCGCCTCCCGGGTTCAGGCAATTCTCCGGCCTCAGCCTCCCGAGTAGCTGGGATTACAGGCACACACCACCATGCCCAGCTAATTTTTTGTATTTTTAGTAGAGACGGGGTTTCACCATGTTGACCAGGATGGTCTCGATCTCCTGACCTCGTGATCCACCCACCTCGGCCTCCCAAAGTGCTGGTATTACAGGCTTGAGCCACCGCGCCCAGCTCTTTTTTCTTTTCTTTTCTTTTTTTTTGAGATGGAGTCTCCCCCCATCACCCAGGTTGCAGTGCAGTGGCGTGATCTCAGCTCACTGCAATCTTTGCCTCCCGTGTTCAAGTGATTCTCCTGCCTCAGCCTCCCAAGTAGTTGGAATTATAGTTACCCACCACCACACCCAGCTACTTTTTTGTATTTTTAGTAAAGACAAGGTTTTACTATGTTGGCCAGACTGGTCTCAAACTCCTGACCTCCAGTGATCCAGCTGCCTTGGCCTCCCAAAGTGCTGGGATTACAGGCGTGAGCCCATACTGTTGTTGACCACTTCCTTGAACTCACATCTAGACTTACAGGGATAAACAAATACACACTACGCCCCAAATGTATGTACATGTACGCGTATATGCATTGTGTCCACATGACTACACATAGAAACATGCACATTATGTCCTGTGTGCACCCATGGGCTTATACATACATGTGTTCACACAGACTCCAATGGTGTGTTAAGCAGGAGCATACGTGCATGTGCTCACATCTGCAATCATTTGTGTACATGACAGTCTGTTCTTACATGATACCCACCTGCTATTCCATCCTCAGCTATAGGAAGGGAGGTCTGCCGTCTGACCTCAAGCATGTGGAGACCAACATGTTCAACATCCAGCGACTGCTGCACATCAGAGGGAGGAAACACGTATCTGCCACTGAGGTAAGGCTGCCAGGGGAGCCTCTGGACCTCTGGACTAGGCTCAGACTGGGTGTACTGAGATATAAGGAAGTTGGAAATTGGCTGAGGGTGTGGGGGATAAGGAGCTATCAGCATTCCCAGATGGTCTTGAACCAGAACAGAGAGGATACCAGGCTTCTAGCCCCACTTCTGCCACTGCTCCCCAGACCTTTTGTTTCTGCATCTGTCTCATGGACATATTAAGAACTTGGGCACAGATATTTGGGAGGCTGAGGCAGGAGAATTGCTTGAGCCCAGGAGTTTGAGGCTGTAGTGATTCATGATGACACCACTGTACTCCAGCAGCTTGGGTGACAGAGAAAGACCATGTGTCTAAAAAGAACTTGGGCAGATGGGGCAGACGATAGGGCACCAATGAACGGTCCTTGTTAGCAGCACAGAGAGAGGTAGCGCAAAACTTGGGGGGAGGGCATAACCTCATACACACTGTCATTACCACCCGCACCCACTGTCCTCCCTATTATCCCTGGGTGCTCCTCCGTTTCATATAGTGCATATAGTGCCCTTGTGCAAATCAGAACACAGCACCCCTTTCTTCCATCTGTCAGGAAATTAAAGAAAAATACTGGTTTTGTTAGAACAAAACATTTTGCTGCCATCTGGCCAGAATGTGGTATCATGAACATTCAGTTGTGCAACGTCTACAGTGTGATGGGAATGCTGGAGGTATGAGAGTGGGTCTGCACAGGCAGCCCCGTGACACACTGATAATTCCACATAAGCTCTGCATTGTCACCCACAGACCCAATGACCATACATCCCGGGGCACTGGGGGACACCATGAAACTCCATGTTTCTGTTACCCTGGCATCATAATTGAAAGTACTGCCTTTCACTCACAGAAGTCTCTATTTGGAGACTATCATTATCCATAGGTATACATTGTCACCATGAGCATACACACTTGTTCACATGTGATGTCCCCACATACATACATGCGTATATGCAAATATAAAAGAAACAGATGCACCCCCACCTGTATACATGTGTACACATAGAGCTACAGACATGCACTGAGAAGTGTCATAAGTCACATACACCCTGTGAAATGCAGCATTGCCTAGTCACACATGCCTATGTACACCCAGATGCATACAACTTCATGCACCAGGTGACACATCCCAGCCTTGCTTCCGTCTAGCGAATGCTGGTGGTATGACGCCCTGTCCCGCTCCCTGCTCCTGGTTCTGGTAGGTGGAGCTCTCCTGGAACAGCTTTAATAAGGGTGACATCTTCCTGCTGGACCTAGGCAAGATGATGATCCAGTGGAATGGGCCCAAGACCAGCATTTCTGAGAAGGCTCGGGTTAGTGTCTGCCCAAGGAACTGGGAGTACGGGGTTTGTGAGGAAATGGTCCTCCAAGTGCCCATCCTCCAGCCACCCCAAGAGTTGGGTGTGGCTGTCTGCCAAGAGATGCCTATGAGGTCCAAGCTGAGTTCAGACCCTGCACTGTTGGTGTACCCTGGATGCCAGGATGAGGGAGCACCAGCCCTTCTCCCCACCTGCCTCTGGGAGCTGAGCAGTGACAGGAGAAATCTGTGCTGTGAGGGGGCACAGTGGTGACACCCTGACTGCCAGGTCCTCTCCCGCAGGGGCTGGCCTTGACCTACAGCCTCCGGGACAGGGAACGTGGTGGTCGTGCACAGATTGGCGTGGTGGATGATGAGGTCAAAGCCCCGGACCTCATGCAGATCATGGAGTCTGTGCTGGGCCGCAGGGTGGGCAGCCTGCATGCCGCCACGCCCAACAAAGATATCAGCCAGCTGCAGAAGGCCAATATTCGCCTGTACCAGTGAGCACCTTTGGGGTGGGCAGGGTAGGTGGGGCAGTCTAGGACTCGGTGTCCATCACTACTGCAATAACACAGCACCTCTACAAAGCCCTCCAGAAAAGGCTGCTGGGTTTTTGGAACAGGTCACGTGGACTATGGGCCCAGCCTGTACTGTTTTTTTGTGAGACGGAGTCTTGCACTGTCACCAGGCTGTAGTGCAGTGGCGCGATCTCGGCTCCAGCCTATACTCTTACATGGTGTCTGGCTGCCTCGCTGAGAAACCTGTTGTACTGACAGAGGGACTGTGGTGCTCTGCCAGGGCCAAAGCTCTACAGCAAGGCTGCAGTAAAGTCAAGACTACAACTCAGGGCTCCAGCCCCCATGCCTTTTGTCTCTGGGGGGGGCTAGGCTGGGGTGGAGCCAGGTCAGGGAGGGGCTGGGCTGGCCACACCTGGGTTCCTGTCCCCCTAGTGTCTATGAGAAGGGCAAAGACCTGGTGGTCCTGGAGTTGGCGACACCCCCACTGACCCAGGATCTGCTGCAGGAGGAGGTAGGGAAGGCCTGGCCCCAGTCACTCGCACCCTTCCCCACCCACTGGGACCACCTACCAACCAGCCCCACCCTTGCTCCCAGGACTTCTACATCCTGGACCAGGGAGGCTTCAAGATCTACGTGTGGCAGGGACGCATGTCTAGCCTCCAGGAGAGAAAGGCTGCCTTCAGCCGGGCTGCGGTGAGCCCTGGGGCCCCGTCGGAGAGGAACAGAGCACTGCCCTACGGGCTGTGTGTGGAGGCATCACTGCCCTGGAGTTAGAGTTGGGAAACATCCTATGCGAGTGTCTTAAAGGGGTGGTAGCCCCGCCCTGGGAGCCCTGAGAGTGAAGACCAGGTGGCCTCTGAGCAACCATGTGTAAAAGGGGCATGTGGCCCTGCCTTCAGGTCCTGGGGCACCTACTGACTGGGTGGCCCCGCTTTCTCAGGGTGGGGCTGGGTGGGAAGATGGGGCTCTGCCAGGGGTCCATGAGGGTTGACTTGGCCTGTCCTGTCTGAGGCCTGGACTAAGGGGACCCTGCCTGCCCTCAGGGACCTTAGAGAAGTCGGTAGTGACAGAGTCAGTTCATAAGTGGGTCATGAGCTCGGTTAATTAACGCTCCTCAGAGCTTGGCTGTCCCAGAGGGGTAGGTCCCCGGGGGGCGGGAGTGGAACAGTAGACTCTCGGTCGCAGGACTGACGGTGCCTTCCGCCCCAGGGTTTCATCCAGGCCAAGGGCTACCCGACCTACACCAACGTGGAGGTGGTGAATGACGGCGCCGAGTCGGCCGCGTTCAAGCAGCTCTTCCAGATTTGGTCTGAGAAGCGAAGCAGGAACCGGCAGCTCGGCAGGGTCGGTGAGTGGGCGGAGCGAGCCAGAGGGGGCGGGGCCTGGCAGGAAACGGTGGGACAGAACCTCCTTGGGTTGGGGGAAGGGGGCGTGGCCAGCCGAGGACGGGGGCAGGACTTGGAATGGATGGTTGAGAAGTGGGCGGGGCGGGGATGGTGTGGGAGGGGATGGGACAGAAGGCGCAACTGACACCTGCTGCCCCACCTTCAGATAAACCGACTCATGTAAAGCGGGACGTGGTCAAGCTGCACAGCCAGCCTGAGTTAGCCGCCCAGCTCAGGATGGTGGACGATGGCTCCGGGAAGGTGGAGGTGAGGGGCAATGGCTTAGTTGGGGGAAGATGGGGACATGGGTGTAAGCTTTGCCTACAGGTGAACGGTATAACTGTTATCTAAAGTGACTCAGCTGCACATCCAACAATCAGGGACACCAAGGGACACATGTACATTTACACACTCTCCTAACAGGTGGTTCATACAGTCATGCCTAGTCATACACAGCAACAGGCACTCACACACAGAGACACACAGCACAGTAACGCTTGGACACTTAAATTCGCCCTATAGTCACATGTAGGACAAAATCAAACATACACTCATACAGACACACATACACCTTGTAATTGCACATAATCACAGCCACACAATCATAGCCAAGTACACAACTGCAAACATGTAGCTGCAAAAACTACATCAGACATGACCACAGTCACACACAACCATCAACCACCCAGAGACACACCAACACAGACACATGATCACACATAATCACCGCTCCACACACCCAACCCCAACTCACAGCCATACACTGTCAACCACTCATCCCGTCCCAGCCCGGTGTTCTGCAAGACACACGGGTTGAGGGCCACTCCCTGGCTCTGTATAGGGTGGGGTTGCATCTTGACTTGTTGGCTGACCCCCTAGCAGAGCCCTGAATTTTTTAGGCTCTAGTTTTTAAATAAAATGGGGCCAGAAACCATTGTCCCATCTGGCCCCAAGGCTGATATGGGGATGCTGTGAAATTGTGGGAACAGAACTGCTGGGCCTGTGTGAGGGCTCCCAGTTCGTGAGGTAGGTGGAGGTCAGAGAAAATTGCAAGGTTTCCTTTTTCATTTGCTCTAATATGGATGGACAGAAGCAATGAGTGAAGAGACTGAGAGAAGAGGAACTCCAACAAGGGAGTGGGTGGGGAGCAGGGAAAGAGGAAGACAGAGAAGGGAGCACAAAGAGAGAGAAGCAAAGAGTGGGAAGGACCAGGGATGAGGAGGAAACAGAGGGAAGGGAGGAGATGGGTGGAGGAAGAGCGGGGAGCAGTGGGGTACAGGAGAGGAGGAGGAGTCAGGGAGAGATGGGATATACACAGAGATGGGGAGCCAGAGGAGGAGGGGAGACAGACTGGAAAGCAGAGAGGAGGGCGAGGGAGAGGGAAAGAGAACTCAAGGACTCAGTCGCCAAGTACAGTCAGGAAGGGAATCCTCCTGGCAGGCAGTGGACAGGCAGGCAGAGAGAGGGCCTGAGCCAGGGGGCCTGGCTGCCCAGTAAGTGCCACTCTTAGGCAGCCTGTGATTGAGTCAGCCCCTTTTGTGAAAGGCAGGGTTCAGGCTGTTTTGGTCTGGAAGGCAGCTCCCCAGGGACAACGGCCAGGGTCCGGGGAGCGGGGGCGGAAAGGACACCCAGGCATTGTCTCCTGCCATGCAGAGGTGAAGTAAGGGAGGAATCACCATCCCCAATATACAGGTGGGAAAGGCCCGAAGCTTGGAATGATGTCACTGCCAACACAGGGCTGACCTGGGATTTAACCAGAGTCTGCCTGGCTGCAGGCTCGGCCACCCACAGGAAGAAGAAACCACACTGACCGAAGTGAGGCAGTGTTTTCCCTTCAGTCTTTGAACATGCTTTGTGTTTTCTAAATGACACTTGAAAAAGGGAACTCGTTCAAGAGCTCCAAGTCTTCCCTTTCTGCCCAGCTTCTGTTACCCTGGCCTAAGCAGCGAGCAGCTATGAGGGGGCCCAACTTCCCCTAACCAGGGCTGTGGCTGGTGGGGTTGGGACTAGGGCTGGGCATGTGGCATGTGGCTGGGATAGGGTCCATCTCCCAAGTGTGGTGGGTTTCAGTGGTCCATGGAGAAAGGGTCACCTGCAGATCCTTGCACACGCCCAGCCAAAAGCCTGAAGTGGACCTAGAGCTGAGGGTGGGCCTTGGAGGCTGGGGAGAGGTTTCCAGCTAGGTGCAGGATGGGTGGGCTGGTTCAGGGAGAGCCGCCACCTGTGCCCATTGGTGCCCTATTCCCCAGGTGTGGTGCATGCAGGACTTACGCAGGCAGCCCGTGGACCCCAAGCTTCACGGAAAGTTGTGTGCAGGCAACTGCTACCTAGTGCTCTACACATACCAGAGGCTGGGCCGTGGCCAGTACATCCTGTACCTATGGCAGGTGCGCCAGCCTGAGGGAGGCGGCACTCACCTTAACACCCAAGGGCTGGGCTCTGAGAGTGAGATGGGAGAGCTGGGCCAGGCCCTCACCGCCCTACCTGCAGGGCCACCAGGCCACCGCAGACGAGATCAAGGCCCTGAACAGCAACGCTGAGGAGCTAGACGCCATGTACCGCGGCGCCCTAGTGCAGGAGCATGTGACCATGGGGAGTGAGCCTCCCCACTTCCTCGCCATCTTCCAGGGCCAGCTGGTGGTCTTCCAGGTGGGGCTCACCTCGCCGCTGCGGCCTGCCCACTTCTCCATGTGCCGTGGCCCCTGCACACGCTCCTCAGCACCTTCCTTTGGGCCCGGGGCCTGCTTCTCCCTGGTTTCCCGGAGCTTGTCCAAGTTTGTCCCAGGAGCTCCAAGGTTAGCCCTGCCTGAGTTTCTCTCCCCAGTCCCAGAGCCAGATGAGGAAGTTGAGTTGAAAGGGAGCCAGGGGCTTGCCTGGGGTCACACACTGGCAAAACTGGTCCCCACTTTCCACCTCCAAGGCCTGAGCACCCATGTCCTGACCCCTCAGAGATGGGGTGAAGGGTCATTTAGAAAGGGCCGGTCCCTATCCCAGACTGAGGGGATTCCTGCCCGCCATACCTAGAGGGTCCTATACTCCTCACGTGAAGTCACCAGTGAGGGCCTTGGTGGCTTCAAGCAAGGGCCCCTGAGCCCTGAGGCAATATGTCCTACAGTGGGATGGGAAGGGGTCCCTGGGAGCCCTTGCCCCAGCCTGAGGCCCTACTCTTCCATAGGAGAGAGCTGGGCACCATGGAAGGGAGCAGTCAGCACCCACCACGAGGCTTTTCCACGTGCAAGGCAGCGACAGCTACAGCACCAAGACTGTGGAGGTGCCAGCTCGTGCGTCCTCCCTCAATTCCAATGACATCTTCTTGCTGGTCACAGCCGGCGTCTGCTATCTCTGGTTTGGGAAGGTACCCACAGCACTGAGCACTTGATTCATGCCCGGAGGTAGTGGTGCCAGGCGGGGGGTGGTCCTCTCCACGGGGGATGCAGACTTTGAGTCCAGCCTCAGATAGACCAATGGGGGAAAGGGGGAGGAGAAGAAGACACAGTGTCCCCTCTGGAACTCGGGGGGAAATTACAAAGTGACAGGCAGAGCCAGGTCCTCCCCTCCTTACTCCCTGGAGCACGGGGCATGTCACTTCCCAGGTCTCTTGGGAAAAGGGGAGGCCTATGTCAGTTTGCTGGAGTTTTCTCTAGTTTTCAGCATAAACTATGACCCTCTAAGCCTGGAGGCCTCCCATCCCATGCTCTGGACCCCCCGGGAGGGTCCCAGACCCTGTGATCCACACGAGCTAGGGACACAGGCCTGGAGGGTGAGGAGATGCCATGTTCACTGGTGTCCTGCAGCCAGCTTAGGCCTCCTGTAACTTGGGCCTGGTACCCCCCCACACACCCTGTGAATGGGATATGGGGCTGGAGGTGAGACCCCCTCCTCATGTAGGGCCTGAGCCATCTCTTTGCCTGCTAGGGCTGTAATGGTGATCAGCGTGAGATGGCGCGGGTGGCAGTCACTGTCATTTCCAAGAAGAACGAGGAAACGGTGCTGGAGGGTCAGGAGCCTCCCCATTTCTGGGAGGCCCTGGGAGGCCGGGCCCCCTACCCCAGCAACAAGAGGTAACAGGGTTGGGAGGAGGAACTAAGGCTCAGAGGGGATGGGTGACTGGGGTTCACACACACAGCTGGAGAGACAAGACTAGGACCAAGGACTCTCAGCTTCTCCCTCACAGAGGATCCCAGGAGCACAGCCCGCCCTTCACGCCCAGGCCTGAGTAACTTGGGTCTGGAAGATGCTGGGGAGGGTGGGGAAGTGGCACCCTCTGCTGGCAGCATCCCCTCCCTGCACAGTCTAGGTCCTGGGCCAGGAGACAAAGCACCTTCCCCAACCTACAGTCCCCAGCGGTCATGGTGCCCAGTGTGCGCGTCTACGGTGTCATGATGTGTGGGTATATAGTGCGTGTGGAGGTGCAGGAACAGGTGTATTCAGGGTGTCGTCTGTCTGCTGGGTAAGCAGACAGGGTCTGTGTAGGAGGTAGGAGTGAGGCCTCAAGGGGAGGAGGGAGCTGAGTCCACGTCGCTCTTGGCCTGTCTGCGGGGCTTGGTTTATGCGCTGCACTGCCCTCAGTCCTCCTGAGCTCAGTACTCCTGTCTCCTCCCAGCCTGCCTTTCCTCCTTCCACCTTGGGCTGGAGACCTTATCTGCAAGGGATGGGCTGAGGAGCTCCTCCCATCCCAGGGAGGGCGAGACTGCAGCTCAGGCCCTCCTCTTCCCCTGCAGCCCTCTCCTGGGAAATTCAGGGGCAGCTTGCATCACAGCTGGGCGGGCGGGAGCTTTCTCCATACGTAGAGAGGGACCCTGCGGCCAGAGCAGAGTGCTCCAGGAGTAGAATCGTGGGGCTCCAGGAGGGCCCAGGTCTCCCACTCCTGAGAAGTGGCTTCCAGCCCCTGGGGTGGGGCACGTGTGCCACAGGCTGGTGTGGCCCTCTGCGTGGCTCACGGCCTTGCTCTCCTTGCTGTCCAGACTCCCTGAGGAGGTCCCCAGCATCCAGCCACGACTGTTTGAGTGCTCCAGCCAGATGGGCTGCCTGGTCCTCGCAGAAGTGGTGTTCTTTAGCCAGGAGGACCTTGGCCCGTATGACGTCATGTTACTGGACACCTGGCAGGAGGTAAGGTGGCCACCCCTGCCTGGTGGGGCTGTGAATGGGGGTGTGTCTGTTTGTGTAACTGGGTGTGTATGTAGCCTTTTGACTGTACACAGGGCTTTGGGTGAGTCTCACTGCGGTGCCTGTGAGACCACAGATGACGGTGTCACCAGGTGGCGGCAGCGAGACCGCGGGAGACAGGAGTGTGTTGAGACTCGGGTAACTGTTTGCGCCATGTGTGGCTCCACACACACGACAGTGCCCGCAGCTGAGCGTGTCGATGCTGCAGGTGACTGAGTGGAACCGCAATCTCATCGCGTGTGTGGCTTGGTGTGAGCGTTTGCCTTTGTGCAATGACACTTTGTCATTGCTAGATGACAAAAAGTGATGCTAGAACTGGCCAGACCAGTGGCAACTGGTGAGAGTGCGTGTGTGAGAGGCTGTGACCAGCTCAGCTGTGGCTGAGTGATGGAAGGCTGTTTGTGGGGCTGTGCAGACAGTGCTGTTGTGTGTGCGTGCAGCTGTGAGTCTGACAACAGTGGATGAGTGTGTCCCCCCAACACTGAATTGGTGATGAAGCTGTGTGCTCCCATCTCACTCAGAACAAACCCAGAGCTCTTATCCCAGCCCTGTGTGACCTGGTCAGCCCCAACTCTTTGACCCCCTTTCCTCCCTCCCCCCTCCCTGCTTCTGCGGCAGCCACAGTGGCCTCCTTGTGTTTCCTGAATGTGCCAGGCACGCCGCCACCTCGGGCTTTTACACTGGTGGTTTCTTCTTGTTAGGGCACTCTTCCCCAGGCATACACGTGATTTGCTCCCTCATGAAAGCACTAGAAGGGCAGGGATTTTTGTCCATTTTCTTTCATTGTTGAATCCTCAAAGCCTAGACCGATGCTCAGCATACAGTAGGTGCTTTATAAATATTTGTGGATTGATGTCCAGTTAAATCACACAAGAAAAGTTTGCAGATTGAATGTGTGCATGCATGCATTCCCGTGACCATCTCCTGTGTGTGACGTGTGGGTGGGGCCCCTGGCTGGGTGGGTCTGGATGGACAGGGATGTGTATGTGGGGTTCTGTCTGGGACGTCTGATGGACAGGGAGGGGTCAGCTCTGGGCAGCCCTCCATGCCAAAAGTCAGGCCCCCTCTTGGCCCAGATCTTCCTATGGCTTGGGGGAGCTACAGGTGCATGGAAGGAGGCGGTGGCCTGGGGCCAGGAGTACCTGAAGGCACACCCAGCAGGGAGGAGCCTGGCCACACCCATTGTGCTGGTCAAGCAGGGCCACGAGCCTCCCACCTTCACTGGCTGGTTCTTCACTTGGGACCCCTACAAGTGGACTGTGAGTGAGACCTGAAAACCCCAGCCCTACTCGAATTTGGGAGGTGGGGAGGAGCCGGACCTGGGCTGAGGGAAGGAGGTGGCACTGCTTGGGCTGGGCTTGCCAGTGTGGGTGAGAGACCTGGTCTTGTCCTCAGGCCCCTCCTGAGTCCCACTGGTGCCCCTTCCTCCTGGTCAGACTCCCTGATACTTGCCCCAATTCTTGCTCTAGCCCGACCTGTCCCACAAGGAAGTGGTGGAGGGCAGCCCGGGAACAGCATTGCCCATCTCTGAGATAAGAGCAGTGAGTCCTAGGGCCCCAGGCTTCCCCACAGGGGCCTGGGCGCTGACGGCATGGTCCTGAGGGGCAGGGGAAGTGCCAGGCCCTGGTAGGTGGGAGGGCTGCAGAGGGAGGGGAGAGGCCTATGGGTTCAGTGCAGCCTCCCTGGGGGCTACCGAAGTAGCCCCCATCTTCCCCAGCCTGAGGCTCCTCTCTGGACAGGAAGTCAACAGCTTCCGGCTATCCAGATGGCCAGGCAATGGCAGGGCAGGTGCCATGTCCCTGCAGGCCCTCAAGGGCTCCCAGGACAGCTCAGGGAATGAGCTGATGCGGGGCCCCAAGTTGGGTGGCACTAGCAGCTTCCTCAGCAGTACCAGCACCTCGATCAACGGGGCCCTGCCCCGGGAGCAACTGATGCACCAGGCCGCTGAGGACCTGCCAGAGGGCGTGGACCCGGCCCGCAGGGAGGTGGGCACCTGAGACCCCCCCACCCCACCCCTCACTGCCCCAGCACTGGTGCATCTGCCACTGAGCTGGAAGAGCCCGAGGCAGGATCCCCTGGTGGTAGGCAGCTGCCCTGGGTGACACCCTCCCCTCTGCCTCCCCCAGTTCTATCTCTCAGACTCCGACTTCCAAGATATCTTTGGGAAATCCAAGGAGGAATTCTACAGCATGGCCACATGGAGACAGCGGCAGGAGAAAAAGCAGCTGGGTTTCTTCTGAAACCAGGCCCCCCACCCCAACATAGCTATGATGCTGGGGCCGTCCTGCTCCCACGCCCCTGAGGCTTCTGCTCATCCTCTGCTTGTCAGTAAAAGCGAGCCATCCATACAGGGTGTGGTATGTTTTTTCCAGCCCGGGCCACTCAGCAGGTCTATGTCTCAGGGGAAGGGGCCTCCAGGGCTGGCAGGGGTGAGCTCTCGGTGCCGCCCCTCCAGATACCCCCTACCCCACTCCAGTGTGTACGAGCATGGTACAAAGTGAGGTGCTGGGGCTCCAGCACTCAAGAACATGGGGGCGCACAGACACGCACACTTCACAGGGGATTTTCTGGCAGCCAGGTAAAGAGACCATAAGGCTTAATCTTATCGTAATTTTTATTAAAAAAAAAAAAGAAAAAGCCTGGCCCATGGGCCGGCTGCAGTGTTGTCCCTAACGGAATGAAGGACAGCTCCCAGTCCCCAGGGAGGCAGCAGCAGACACTATATTAGCGCTGAAGGCAGTTTGGGGGCCTAGCTCCAAGCAAGAGGCTGGGAGCAGCCAGCCCTGGCCCTCGTGTAGACCCCACTGGCTTCCCCCAGTCTAGTCCTGGAGGGAGATCTTCACAAAGAGGGTGGCTGACGGATGCTGGTCCCCGTTCTTAGACAAGAGGTGGACATGGCGGTATCCTGGCGGGTGGACAGGCAGGAGGGAACCCCAAGTTCTGGTCACTCTGGGTGATGCTTCGAGGGACAGCTAGCCCTAGCCCAAGAGATGCCAGGCCCTGCTTTCCACCACCCTGGCCGTCCCCTCCTCGTGACACTTACCTTGCTTGAGGCTGTTCAAGGGGATGGTACTCTGGCCGATGAAGTCATTCTTGGAGGAGGCGTCGTAATCTTCTACCACGAAGCGGACGAGGGCAAGGTCAGGCACCACTACCTCAAATGCAAACTCCGTGTCCCACCATGGGTTGAAACCTAGGGGAGGACAGGCACCATATCAACAGCATGGACGGCAGCCCCAGCAGCCCGGCCCGGGCCCAGCACCTACCATTGTTGGTGATGACAGCCGTCTGGCGGCTGGCCACGTCCCGGCTCACACCGTAGATCTCCACCGTCACCTTGGGGTCCACGATTGAATTCTTATTCTTGTTGACTTTTGGCAGTTGCTGCCCCGAGATGACCTGAGGAAAGGCAGGGGACAATGGACAGTTCAGGAGCCATGGTGAGGGGAAGGAGGCCCATGGGCACCTGTCCCTCCTGGGTCCGGCATACCCTGATGTTGAGCCGCTTTCGTGCCAACCAGGGCCCCTGAGCCAGGGCACGGGGGTTGAAGGTGGTGTTGGGGTCTCGCAGGAAGGCGGGCTTCAGCACGTACCCACAGGCCCCGTTGTCCTGGAAACGGCCCTGGTACACGTCCATCTCTGGCCCGGGGGTCTGGAAGTTCAGGGCCACTGCAGGCAGGACAGAGCAGTCACAGGCTGTGGGCTGGCCCTGGGGCCCCAGAGCACCACCCCTTCCCTTTCTGGTGTCGGAACTCAAAGGGCTCGTGTGCTAATGAGGTTTCAGACACTTGCTGGTGGGCAGCTATTTCCAGACTGACAGCAGCAGCTCCACAAGCCCCTGCACTTGACCCTGCTTGGTCCTCAGAGCTCCACTGCATGGCCTTCGAGGCTCCAGCCTCGGGACTGAAACCCTCCTCCCAACCTCCTTTAGCCCTGGCCGGCCCGTACCGATCTGGCAGCCCCCGTTCCACATTTCCACGGGGCTGTAGTTGGAGGAGTCTGTTCTCCATCCGGCCGGGTAGATTCTGCTCAGGTGCCCCACGTTGTGGCGGATGAAGCTGTTTCCTGAGGGGAGCTGTGGCTCAGTCGGCAGTGGTGGCCTCCCGGTGAGGCCGAGCCCTGCCCTGCCAGTTCTCTGTGGCAGAGCAGGGGAGCGGGGCGAGGCCAGGCCTCACCTGATTCTTGGAGCAGTCGAAGGGCACGGTTCTCAGAGAAGGACGCCATCTCGTAGAAGGCCTGCCCAGGGGTGCCAGGACTGGAGAAGCCCCCAAAGTGGACGCTCTTGCAGTAAATGACCATGTCAGAGAGCTCCTGTGCTAGCCTGAGCTTGTCCTCCTGGGGGCCACGGGGAGGCCCGGGTTAGATTCAGAGGTTGGGGCAGGGTAGGCACTGAGAAAGCCAGAAACCCAGGTGCAGAGAGACAGAAGGAGACAGAAAGAGTGGGGCAGAGGGTCTGAGTGGCAGCCACAGAGACTGAGTCAGGGCAGACCTCCCAGGGGAGGGGGGAGGCCCGGCTGCCCCACCCCACAGCTCCCCCTCAAACCTTGGGCTTGTGCTGCACGCGGCTCCTCACTGCCTCATCCTCCATCTCGGCAGCCTCATCTTCGTCTGACACCACAGTGGCCTCAGGGCCACCCTCCCCTGCAGGGGGCAGGAGCCCTCCCAGCTTCTTTCCCTTCAGCAGGATCTTCCCCTTCAGTTGCTAGGGGTGGAGGGGCAACTGGTCAAGACACACCTGTCCTCTTGGCCAGCCTCCCCACCCTCCCCCCGGGAACCCCCCTCCCCACCATGCACCTCGGGGGAGGGCAGGCTGTTGGTGACCCCATCCAGCGGTCGGTTCAGCAGCATGGGGCCCAGGATGCCGTGCAGGTGCCGGGCCATCACGCGCTGCTGCTCCAGGGTGCAGTGGTTCTCCAGGGACAGGATGACGGGGTAGGGGGATGCCTGGAGGCCCAAGGGCACATTAGGAGGGCTGGCCACCCCTAGCAGCCCACTCCTCGCCAGCCAGGGGCACACCCACCTTGAAGGCATAGTCCCGGATGGCCCTGAGCACGTCACAGAAGAGGATCTTGGAAGTGAAAGTGTAGCCGTGATAGATGATGGGCTCCTGGTTGGGCCCATCCCAGCAGTCCAGCTCTAGGCAGCGGCAGCCTTTACACAGTGCCCTGTGGGGAGGGTGGCAGCTAGGACCCTCCAGGTCCCGTCCTGGGCCCCATGCAGACTCCCGCCCCAAGGCTCCCCTGGGCAGCACCGGATGTAGGCCTCAGTGCTGCTGGGCCCGGTGAGCTGGTCCTCCAGCAGGTAGGTGTTGTGGGAAGAGGACACCAGGTAGTGGCTGAGCGGCTGGCCCATGTCCTGGTAGACACGGCGGTGTGCAAGGCTGAAGGCACTGCCGTCGGCTGACAGTAGGTACATGAGGAAGCCGTCCTTGGTCATCTGCCGCTGCGCCTTGGCTGGGAGGGAAGAGGCCACTGCCAGTCAGAGCCAGGCTCCGGCAGGCCCTCCTGGGTGCCCACCCATCTGGATGGAGGAGCCCTCTGACCCCGCTCGCCTGCCTGGCCCGAGCCAGGCTTCCAGAGCTCTTGGAATTAGGGTAAGTCTCCGGCTCAAGACCAGACTGTGGCTACTCCAGAGTGGGGCCCTGTCTCCTCCCCCTCCCCTGTCTGCACACTCTAAGGCCCCTGAGGACAGTGTCATCTCCCCCTCTCTTGTACCCCCAGACTGGAGCTCCAGAGCAGGGCCCCATCTTCTCTGCTCTGGTATATCTCAAAGCTGGGCCCAGAAAAGGAAGCAGGAATGGCATCTGCTTTTCAGCCACGTCTCTCGTTTTCTGAAGAAGGGTCCTCGGAGCCCCCGAAGGAGGTGCCAAGAGGCAAAGGGGACCAGAGAAGGGCGGGGATGCCGGGGTCGTCTCTCATCTGCTGGCTGTCCTGGGACAGGCAAGTGCTAAGCAGGGGCGGGGGCTGGCTCAGGCCGTCCCTTCCCCCACTCCCTCCTTTCTGGCTGCAGTCTCCCCAGGGGTCTCCCAGCCCAGGCCCAGGGCGGCTGCCCTGCATGCTCTCACCAGTCTCGCTGGGCTCGTAGCACTCAATGAGGGAGAGGGCCAGCGCGGGCCCTGCCGCCTCTTCCCGCTGCTGGTGCCGCAGGAACGTCACTAACTGATCCACCGACAGAGTCTCCCCTGAGCCCGCGGCCTCGGCGAAGGTGCGGTCGATCTCCGCCCGCTGGGTCAGCATCTTGTAGAAGGCCTCGATCTCCTCGTCCTCCAGGGAGTCTGTCTGGGAGTGGTCACACTCCTGCAGAGCCAAGACAGTCGGCTGGGCTCAGAGCAGGCCTTGGGCCAGCAAGAGTCCCATGGGCAGGCAGCCCCCGCCCCCACTCCTGCCTCACCCTGAAGATCTTCCAGGCATAGCTGTCGTCCACCTGGATGTTGAGCTCCTTCAGGAAGTTCTGCAGCTCCTTGAAGCTCATCTTGTTGTCCTTGTTTTTGTCAGCTTTTCGCAAGCAGGAGTGAATCCAGCTGGGCAAGAAGTAAGGAAAGAACCCGGGAATCCTGGAACCCAACAAGGTCCCAGCCAGAGCCACAGATGGTTCCATCTGAAGCCACCTCTAGCCACAGCTCCCTGCAGCCTGACCTACGACACATCCATGTTTCAGTGGCCTCTTCAGAGGAAAACATTACATCCCATTAAGGGGTTTTTCCTATTTGCTGTTTTTTAAATCTTTTGATTTTTTTTTTTTTGAGACGGAGTCTGGCACTGTCGCCCAGGCTGGAGTGCACTGGTGTGATCTCAGCTCACTCTGACCTCCACCTCCTGGGTTCAAGCGATCCTCCTGTACCAGCTCCTGAGTAGCTGGGACCACAGATGCCCACTCATTTTTTGTATTTTTATTAGAGATGGTGTATCACCACGTTGGCCAGGCTGGTCTCGAACTCCTGACCTCAGGTGATCCACTGAGCTCAGCCTCCCAGAGTGCTGGAATTACAGGTGTGAGCCACTGCGCCAAGCCAAACCTTTCAAATTTTTAAAAACAGTTCTTTTCTCCTTAAAAAAGGGCCCACTGTAGACAATTTAGAAAATGCAGAACAGTAAACAAGCAAACAGATCCCCCATAGTCTGTCACCTTGGGATAAGTACGATTCACATTCCAAGCATATCCTTTCTCTTTTTTGTTTTTTGCGGTGAGATCTCACTTGGTCCTCCAGGTTGGAGTGCAGTGGCACCATCACAGCTCATTGCAGCCTTGACCTCTGAGGCTCAAGTGATTCTCCCACTACAGGTGTGCACCATATCACCAGGCCTGCCTTTTTTTTTTTTTTTTTTGTAGAGACAGGGTCTCCCCTATGCTGCCCAGGTGGCTAGTCTCAAAGTCCTAGGCCCAAGCAATCCTCTGCTTTGGCCTCCCAAAGTGCCGGGATTACCAATGTGGGCCACTGGGGCTGCTTTCCAACATATAAAATAATAAATATCCAACACTGAGGAAATGGATCAGCCACGCGCGGTGGCTCACACCTGCAATCCTAACACTTTGGGAGGTTGAGGCAGGTGAATCACAAGGACAGAAGATTGAGCATCCTGGCCAACATGATGAAACCCTGTCTCTACTAAAAATACAAAAATTAGCTTGGCATGGTGGTGTGCCCCTGTAATCCTAGCTACTAGGGAGGCTGAGGCAGGAAAATCACCTAACCAGGGAGTTGGAGGCTGCAGTGAGCGGAGATCGTGTCACTGCACTCCAGCCTGGTGACAGAGTGAGACTCCATCTCAAAAAAAAAAAAGAAATGGATCACTAATTTATAGTGCATACACTCAGTGGAACATTGTATAGTCATTAAAGCTGTTTATGTAAATAATTATGATATGTTACACAAAAAATGGGCTACAAATGTATGACTTCCACTATTTTTGGCAGATGCATCATTAGGCAAATTAAAATGCTGAAAGGCTAGGCTTGGTGGCTCACACCTCTAGTTCTAACACTTTGAGAGGCTGACACAGGTAGACTGCTTGAGCTCAGGAGTTTGAGACCAGTCTGGGCAACATGGCAAAACCCCATCTCTACAAAAAATACAAAAATTAGCCAGGTGAGGATCCAAGATGGTGGTTTAGGAGCAGCTCAGGATTGAAGCTCCCAGTGAAAGCACAGAGGGTGAGTGGACGCAGCATTTCCAGATGGATATTTATTGCCCACAGACCAGGAGATACCCAGGTGGAGGAGCCCCACGGGTCGCCAGTGCGACCGGTGCGGCTATTTTGCCAGCGCCCCAGCGCAGTTCTCTGTACAAAGAGAACTGGTTACCCTTTTAAGCTGGCAATTGGAGCTCCAGGAAGGCAGAGTTGCCCACTCATCTGATTAAACAGGGGACAGAAACAGGGAGCCAGGCCAGGAGATTCCCGGGCAGCGCTGTTGTTTCAGCCGGCACAGTGGGTTGCCGCACAGGAAATCACACAGATCCTGGCGCCCTTTCAGCCCGCGACTGGAACACCTAGGAGAGAGTCAACCATTAAACTTAAAAAAAAAAAAAAAAAAGGGCTCTGAGGCAGGAAGCCAGGTGATCAGGCTTAGAGAGTCCCACCCCCCCATCCCACCCCACCCCACCCCACCCCCACCAAAAAAAAAAAAAAAAAAAAAGCAATTGGAAACACCCTGGGTTGAGAGTTTCACAGCAAGCACAGCTGAACCTGGGATGGTCCAGCTCTGTGGGGGAGGGGCGTCCGCCATTACTGAGGCACTCCACCCCTACAGAGGTAGTCTGCCATTGCTGAGGCAGCCTGCCGTTGCCGAGGCAACCCGCCATAACAGAGTCCACCATTAAGGAGGCAGGTCACCACAGCCAAGGCAGTTCTAACCATACCCATATAAACAGGACTGCAGGGAAGTTCACACGGCAGTAGGGCAGAGCTCACAGCAGCTCAGCAACTCTGCAGGCAGACAGTTACTAGGCTGCCTCCTTGCTGGGCAGGGCAGCCCAGGAAAAAAAAAGGCAGCAGCACAACAGAAACTCATAAATAAACCCCTAACTCCCGGGGACAGATCACCTGGGGGAAAAAAGGGGGTTTATGAGTTCTGCTTCAGTAGACTTAAATGTACCTGCCCAGCAGCTCTGAACAATGGAGCTCACAGCTCAGCACTTGAGCTCCTATAAAGGATAGACTGTCTCCTTAAGCAGCTCCCTGACCCCCATATATGCAAAGAGTCACATCACAAAGGACTGATCAGACTGACATTTTGCAGGCATCAATCTGGAACAAAGATAGCAGACAAAGAAACCGGTAGCAACCCTTACTGTTCTGCAGCTGCTGCAGGTGATCCCCAGGTAAGCAGAGCCTGGAGTGGACCTCAGCAGTCCTATAGCAGAGGGGCAAGACTGTTAGAAGAAAAAATAAGAAACAGAAATAACTTCATCATCAACTGGACGTCCACTCAGAGACCCAATCTGAAAAATCAGCAACTACAAAGATGACAGGTGGATGAATCCACAAAGATGGGAAGAAACCAGCACAAAAAGGAGGAAAACACCCAAAACCAGAACACCTCTCCTCCTACAAGGGATCACAACTCCTCACCAGCAAGGGAACAATGCTAGATGGAGAATGAGTGTGATGAAATGACAGAATCAGACTTCAGAAAGTGGGTAATGAGAAACTTCTGCGAGTTAAAAGAACATGTTCTAACCCAATGCAAAGAAACTAAGAACCTTGAAAAAAGATTTGATGAAATTGCTAATGAGAATGGACAACTTAGAGAGGAATATGAGTGAATTGATGGAGCTGAAAAACACAACACAAGAACTTCGCAAAGCATGCACAAGTTTCAACAGCCGAATTGACCAAGCAGAAGAAAGGATATCAGAGGTCAAAGATCAACTTAATGAAATAAAACAAAAAGGCAAGATTAGAGGAAAAAGCATAAAAAGGAATGAACAAAGCCTCCAAGAAATATGCGACTATGTGAAAATACCTAATCTACGTTTGATAGGTATACCTGAATGTGACAAAGAGAATGAATCCAAGCTGGAAAATACTCTTCAGTATATTATCCAGGAAAACTTCCCCAATCTAGCAAGGCAGGCCAATATTCAAGTCCAGGAAATACAGAGACCACCACAAATATATTCCTCAAGAAAAGCAACCCCAAGGCACATAATCGTCAGATTCACCAGGGTTGAAATGAAGGAGAAAATGCTAAGGGCAGCCAGAGAAAAACGTTGGGTTACCAACAAAGGGAAGCCCATCAGACTCACAGCAGATCCCTCGGCAGAAACCCTACAACCCAGAAGAGAGTGGGGGCTGATATTCAACATCCTTAAAGAAAAGAACTTTCAACCTGGAATTTCATATCCAGCCAAACTAAGCTTCATAAGTGAAGGAAAAATAAAATCCTTTGCGAACAAGAAAGTATTCAGAGATTTTGTCACCACCAGGCCTGCTTTACAAGAGCTCCTGAAAGAGGCACTACACATAGAAAGGAAAATGAGTACCAGCCACTCCAAAAACATACCAAATGGTAAAGAGCATAAACAAAATGAAGAATCTGCATCAACTAATGGGCAAACAGCCAGCTAGCATCAAAATGGCAGTATCAAATTCACACATAACAATATTAACTCTAAATGTAAATGGGCTAAATGCCACAATCAAAAGACACAGACTGGCAAATTGGATAAAAACCCAAAACCCATCGGTGTGCTGTATCCAGGAAATCCATCTCACATGCAAGGATACACAAAGGCTCAAAATAAAGGGATGGAGGAAGATTTATCAAGCAAATGGAGAGCAAAAAAAAAAAAAGCAGGAGTTGCAATTCTCATCTCTGATAAAATAGACTTTAAAGCAACAAAGATCAAAAGAGACAAAGAAGAACATTACATAATGGTAAAAGGATCAATGCAACAAGAAGAGCTAACAATCCTAAATATATATGCACCCAATACAGGAGCACCCAGATATATAAGGCAAGTTCTTAATGACTTACAAAGAGACTTAGACACCCACACAATAATAGTGGGAGACTTTAACACCCCATTGTCAATATTAGATCAACCAGACAGAAAATTAACAAGGATATCCAGGACTTGAACTCAGACCTGGAACAAGCAAACCTGATAGACATTTACAGAACTCTCCATCCCAAATCCACAGAATATACATTCTTCTCAGCACCACATCACACCTCCTCTAAAACTGACCACATAATTGGAAGTAAATCACTCCTCAGCAAATGCAAAACAACTGAAATCATAACAAACAGTCTCTCAGACCACAGTGCAATCAAGTTAGAACTCAGAATTCAGAAACTAACTCAGAACCGCACAGCTTCGTGGAAACTGAACAACTGGCTCTTGAATGTTGACTGAATAAACAATGAAATGAAAGCAGAAATAAAGAAGTTCTTCGAAATCAACAAGAACGAAGAAACAACATACCAGAATCTCTGGGACACATTTAAAGCAGTCTCTAGAGGAAAATATATAGCAATATATGCCCATATGAGAAGCAAGGATAGATCCAAAATTGA